TCAATAATGACTGTGCATTGTGTGACCAGAAATTAACAAAACAATCTTAAAAATAGCCCAAGAGGTATCACTGGGGATTGAGCAGTCCCTGAGGTGGGAATTCTGAGAGAGTTTGGCTGGCCCAAGTTCACTCAATGAGGTTTTGGCTGAATTGGGATATGAACTTCGTCTGTGCAAGTTCTACTCTAGCAGTTCAGCCAGTGCACCACGCCGGCTCTCTTCCACCAGTTGTGAAGTTACTGGACAGCTTTCAAGGGGAAGGGCAATATTTATAATATATAATTATTATAATAATGTAAATTATTTTCTGGTGCTGAGAACATCCTTGCAACATCCTTTGGAGCTGCTGCTACCACTACGTTGTTTCTTATTTGTATGAGACACTGGCAGTTCTCAAGGAATTAAGAGGAAGGGTGACATGGAAAAGTTGTCAGTCCAAACAGATCTACATCATATTTTCAGTAGCCCACTCCATCAGCAAACCTCTGGATCTCCATGCATAGCATTGGATGGTACATGAAGAGGCTCCTGTTGTGTATACGAGGCAACATGATTCAACCTTTCAGTCCCAGTGACTCCTCCCTGAGTCCCAAATTGGGAAGAAAAAAAAAAAACCTTCGCTTCAGAAACAAGTTTCTCCACATTCACTCCTTGGGAGCCACCCGCCTGCCTATTGGTATTTCTGGAGGTCTGACGCAATGCAAAGGCATGGAGACAGTGTAAGCCACCCCTCCAACACCCCTTCTTATACAGGCAGGGCTTGTTCATAGTGTGCCTGGAATGGAAGGTCAGACCCAGAAACTCTGAGTGTATGAAGAAGCCCTTGCTCACTGGCTTTGTGGGAGGAATGTGGTGCTTAGGAGGAAGAGGGTAGGATGCTTGAAGAGCATCCCTCAGAAAGTCTAGGAGACTAAGAAAACTAGGTGAAGCTCACATTGTCTCTATGGATGAGAAATACCTACAGATCCCCTACAGGTATGTTTCACTGCATAATACTTGGTGTCTTGAGAAGCCAGTGATACTATTAGGGTGGTGGTGGTGGTGAAACATTTGGGTTTTATACTGTAAATGACTTTCCTTTTGGTTTTAGAAGTGTTGCCTTTTTCAGAATTTGGGATAATAGTAAGTTTAAGAGCTTTTGTTGGACAATGCCTATAACTCTTCAGCCTGCACAGTAGTAGTCCCAAAGAGATTTTTTTTCTCAAGCACTGATATTGCTGTGTACTTGAATTGTTAGTTGCCCTGAATGCAGGTTGAGACAAGTTATATCACTCCAGTAGCTGAATACCTGCATACAGTATTTCTATCCAGAAGGGCATGTATGTGTCTTTGTATCTAGAGCTAGATAGAAATCTAGATATAGATGTATCTGTTTTAGAGATATGTCCTGTCACTTTGTGGTAGATTACAGCTAGATATGTGTGTCTAAATGTAGAAATCATCAGCTGCGAAGTGACAAGCTGTACCTCTGAAAAGAGGATTTTATGTACTGAAGGGGAGGTGCATCCCATATTGCAAGAATCTATTTTTACTTGTGGTAAAACGTAACTGTTCAAAAAACCTGAAATTCAGAGGCCATTCTAATCTGAAAGGAATCAAAGTCTGGATGGGTCAGAGTCTGCAATTTGGAAGGGACCATAATCAATGATTATACAAAATACATAAAGTGCAAAATTGATGCAGTGATGTCTATCAGCCTGGATGGATTTCAAAGGAGGTTAGACAAATTAATGAGGAACAGAACGGCCAATGGCAACAGATCAGCACGGCCATAGACTACCTCTAGTACATATCAGAAGACATACAGTTTGCCCTTTTGAATGCCAGTTCAAATGCTGACAAACGTTGATGTGAAGGTGCTCTTGCCCTTGCGTCCTGCTTGTGGACTTCACAAAACAGGCAGGCACCTTGGTGTGTAATGTACGTGGACATTTGGTTGGCCAGCACTGGAGTAAAATGCTAGGCTAGATGATCCATTGCTCTTCTGAAGAAGGAAGCAGGGCTCTCTTTATGTCCTTCCTTTTAGTTGTTCTCAATATCCTTGGTGTTTTAACATGGAGGCTTTTAGTTCAGCCACCACCAGTCTCATCTAAATGGCCCAACCTGTCTGTCCACAGAGGAATGGGGGAAAAAACAATCCCCATGTTGTTACAACAACACTGTAAGTAATACCTGGGCAGGGTGGCAGGAGCCTCTCCCTGGAGGCTGAGATCCCAGCTGTCCTTGCTAAGACATCTACTTTCTCTTCTTTGCTTTGTTGCTATAGGCTTGCTGTGAATGCTTATGTCCTGCCTTTCCTTTCCCAGTGTGCCATCACAGGTGTGATCAAAAAGGAAGGGATGTCTCAAAGCAAATTAAGCAAGCAACTCCCTCCTGCCGTCTCCTCGGAGTGCCCTGTCTGTTATGAGTCATTTCAGTCTCCAAAAGTGTCACGCCGGATGTTGAGCTGTGGGCACACTTTTTGCCACGACTGCTTGGTCAAGTGTCTGCTGGCCTCACGGGATGAAGGCCGGTTCCAGAACACTCTCACATGCCCCGTGTGTCGCTTTGTGACTTTCCTCTGCAGGAAGAGAGCTTGCTGGCTATCCAAGCCAGCCCTACACCCTCCGTCTCGGGAGCTACCACTGTCACCCTCTTCATTGCCCTGTGGAGTATTGCTAGGGCCATCAAACACTTTAGTGATGCCTAGCCGTTTCCTGACACCATTCTGCAGTTATGACAACCAGCAGAGTGTGCGTGGCTGCCCCGGCATCGGGCAACCTGGTGGCTTGGAGCAGGAACCACACATCTTCATTATCACGCAGTGCGGAATGCCACTGATTGAAGAGAACTTTAGTGCGGTAACTCAGAACAATGACGTGGAAGCTCCAGGGTCAGTGGCGTCTTCAAGTTCACTGGGAATAAAGAGCTGCTTCCATTCACCAATTATGTTGGCAATTTTCCTTATTTCTGCTGTTGCTTTGTTGGGGGCTGTGCTTCCCTGGCTACTACTTGTGAGAGACAATAAATAATCATGGTGGATGGAACATCTTATGGGCCTACAAAAACGTTGCTTGATAAACTTCTCCAGAGGTATAATATGAAGACGGTGGATGGCTTTTTTTTACAAGCCTAATATACAGGATCCTTCTGTCTTTCCTGTGGATCTACCTCATGAGAGAGTTTGTCCTCGGCTGCTTCTGCAATACGGTAAAAGCTGAAATATTTCCTGAGTTCAGGTGGACCAGAGATCTGTGAAGGGAACTGGCCCCTACAGGAGATGATCTTTATGTTGGTCTTCCTTTATCCCAGGAATGTTCTTTTTACCCCAGGGATGATGTGGAGCAGCAAAGAGGGTCTCAGAGAAAAAAAAAAGGTATAATCATTCTTGTAAGGCTATTCTTTCTGTTTCATGTATTTGCTACAAAGGGATATCTGTCCTTCCTCCAAGGATCTCAGAAGAACTTTTTCATATTTCATGGCTCCCCTCGGAGATCAGTGTCAACAGAGAGATTGCAATGTTTCCAAAAGCCAGCCAGTGAGTTCTGCAACTGATCCAAAATATGAAACCACGTTTTCCATATCTAAAGTCACCAGCCATCTCTGGAGGCAAAAGTGAATTCATGGAGACAGGATGGTGTTGACAGACGCTCTTGCCTTGCCTTGCCCTGCCTTGCCCTGGGTAATAAAAAAAATGGCTGTCTTTGAGAGATGATGTTGACAGCCTGGGTAGATTGCCATGGGGAGCATTATCCCAAAGGGAATTCCACCCAAACGCCAGCCCTTCTATTTCATTGTTCTGCCTGGCTAACTCAGGACTGTCAGTCTCTGCATCAAAAGTGCCTGCCTTGCCCCAGCTATGGATGGAGGTTTACTCTTGCTTTTTAATGAGGAGCCGTGGGCTAGCGACCTCTAGCTGAGAGGTGGTTTGGTTCCACACTTTCCGTGTCTAGAATCCACACCTTCCATATTGTTATTGATTTCTTTCAGATGTTACAGCATCCATGTGTCAAAAAGTATCTATCGATGGTGGGGTATTTTATAAGGAGTTTTAAATTTTTGGATCTTCTGTACATTTTTTGCTGCTTTTTATACTTTTGTTACAGCCTACAGTAAAAATTAATTAAATATTAACTTGTTGTTGTAGCCCTTAGGAAATGGTCCATGTCAGATCCTAAGAGCAGGTTTGCTGGAAGGTCTTTTCTCCATTCCCAGGCTGAACAGTTCTCAGACTTTATTTTTCCTTGGTTTTGCTCAAGGAGGACGGGGGAGTGGGTCCTTGGGTATCTCACTGTGTCGATATGAAGCTCCTTCTTGTCCACTTAGGAGAACATGAGGGTTGCACCTTCCAAGGACAGCCATCACCAACCTTGCATCCTCCAGAGGATGGCTGGGGGATGCTGGAGGTAGCAGCCCAGCACTTCTAGAGGGCAACAGATTTGAGGAAGCTCAGCCTAGATAAATGCTCAGTTATGGAGAGGACTGTTGACATGCAGTGGTGGTATACAACTAAGTAGAAATGAGTTCACATACCATCGTAATTTCTCTCTGTGGTTTCAGATGGTGCACATAGGATGACTAAGAGCTGTGTAACAGCTATTATAGCCAAATATCGCAGGCACAGGTTTCATGACACTTTAGCTCATTTTGTAAAAACAATACTTATCAGTGGAGGCAATTCACGCAACAGAGTATGATATTGAAAGGAAAGGAATTGTGTGTATGTGTGGTGAATAAGTGTGAGAGGATCCTGCTTTCCTACACATTTGGTCTGGGTTTTATACACAGACATTCTGGCAAGGGCTTTCAGGAATTTCAATATGCGGAAAGTTTTTATTTTGATTTTATTTTGCAACCAAGCACAATTTGCTGTTAAATACATTGATGCTATTTGCTAGATGGCAAGAAGCGGTTTGGCAGATCTGAATATTTAGTATTGTAGTTAACATGTCATGGGAAGCCGAACTAGACATAACATGGGAGGTTTGCAATTATGATCTACTTTAGGTGCTTAGAAACATATACTTAAAACTAATCAGCAGTATCACATGGGCTTTACTGAAGATGAGGTAGCAGCATTCTGGGAGAAGATGTTTAATGCTCTCCTGTGCTTGTCTTCTTTCATCTGTGAAAATCAATCAAATGTCCTTGTGGGAAGCAAAAAAAACCACCACAAACAACAACAACACAAACAAACCAAAAAACCCAACAATCCTAATACTGATCTTCTCTCAAGACAGAGAAACACAGAGAGAAACAAGGGCCAAAAATTCTATGTGGTTTTTAAGGTCTTTCATGTTCTGGCTTCTGATAGGGCGATCCCAACATTTTCAAAAAGGCTGGACCAGGTTCTTAGAGAATCAATAACCCATGGGCTTCTATCAGGTTCACATGACTTGATCACACCTTGGGTAAGAGCACAGCCAAGCCCACCATCTACAGATTATGCGGCTTTTGAATGAATGATTGAAATCCCCTTCATCATCTCATAACGTAAAACTATGCTTTCATAGGTGTCCTGGGCATTAGGCCCAGGCAATGAGAATCGTGCAATTCAGTTGTGCAATTGGTTCTGCAACCTACATGTGTAAATGCTTAATGAATTAGCACATCCAATAGTACTGATCAAGGGGATTTTTAAAAAGGGGGATTATTGTATTCTGTTGTTTTGCTTGTACTTTAATATTGCTCTTATTTATGCATTTTAATATGATACCTGTTTAATTTTTTTTAATATTGTAATAATTTATTATGTTAACTTTTAACTTTCTTTCTTTGAATACTCTAAGCTACCTTGGATCCTTTAGAAGAAAGGTGGCCTATAAATATTTTAAATAAATTAAATAATAAAAATGTGCAGCGAGCTTCAGATCTGGTTCCCCAGCTTCATGTTGCACACACAGAGCTGCGCAGCAGGATTTCAGCGATTCTGCGCAAGGCTATCCCTCTGCTCTCACTACACTCAGTCTCCTTTTCCTTCTAGACACAACCATGGTCCAACTTTCCTTGTCTGCCCATAAGCCTTCCTTGTAATAATGTTCACGCTGTCAGCCTGTGGGGCACATTTCTCCCTTGATTGTCCGAGCAGGTGACTCCCAAGCACACTGCGTATCATCCAGAATGGCCTTAATCTGGCTCTAAAGTATTTGTTTCCAGTGCATAGGCTAGTGGTGAAAGCAGGCAACTAGGCAAGCTTAGACTCTTATTTTTTGAAGGACCAGTCTCGATGAACTTTAACTCAAGTGTTAAAACATTTCTGGCCTTTTTTTGTTCTCTGCTAGGAACACAATACCCCATTCCTTCACCGTGATTAAGGAGATGCTTTGCTTTGGGGGAATTAATCAGGCTGCAAAGGGAAGGCTGGGTGAGCTGCATCACTTTGGCTTGGCACCCTGTGAGATGGTCCACAGGCAGAAGGCAGGGCATAGAAGCAAAAGGCATGGGGGGTGGGGACAATGGAATTCCCTGTTCTGAGAGCTGCGTAGTAAACCTTTAATTTAAAGGCCTCTTTCCGGTGGGCAGTCCAAATCAGCGCAGACCCAGTGAATCAGTAGGATTACTACATGGGTTTGTCTCACCATTCAGCCATTGATATGGATAGTCTTTAGTTGGCTCTAGCAGTTAGATTTATACTTAAATGTTGGGACTCAACTTTTTGCATATTCACAGGTGTTTTTTCCCCTTTTCTAAATTCTTTCCAGTTCTCTAATGTGCTATTTCAAATTGTCTCAGTAAACACAGCAAGTGGAAATAATTTGCCCCAAAATGTTGCCAATAGTTGATGCTGTGCTGCTGTTACTGAAAAAGGGTTGGCAGTGCAGGGGAGGTAGACACCATGGCTGGGCCCCTAGGCTTTCAAGTATCTTGCCCCAAAATATTGGCAATAGTTGATGTTGTGCTGCTGTTATTGAAAAGGGTTGGCAGTGCAGGGGAGGGCCCCTAAGCTTTCAAGTATTTTGGGCACATCAATCTTCCACCCCACTGTGGCAAAAAATAATTGTGCCTCAGCAAAAATAAAATAAAATAAAAATATTGGTGGGCCCCTTGTCCCTGTGAGACCCCCTTATTATTAAGAATAATAAAGCCCAGCAGACACCTGGTTCTTGAACACAAAAACTGAGTGCAATCGAAGCTTTCCAACACAAGGGACTATATGGCTATGGTGGACATGAATCCCCCCCCCCATGTAACTAAAAACTTACTTTAAAAAATGGTAGCCAAAAGGTTGCCTGTGACAGTCGCCTAGCCCTGATCCACATAATGATTCTAAGCCTTAGCTGGGGAAGAATCACATTTTTTTCCCTTGAAAGGTGAAGCACCTAATATTCCTAACAGAATGAGGCATGTCATATTTGTAGCTTGCTGCACTCAAATCACAGCTTTCCCCTGTAGGGAAAAAGTAATGCCTCTGCTAGAGAAAGGCTACTTTGAGAGAAAGCATGTACCTCTTATGAGTCCCGGCCGGGATTCTTTGACTCCCCAACACACCTTCAGCTTGTGAGGCAATGCATGCTCCAAGGGTTCCGAGAAGTATGACAAGCTGCCACCAGCTTCCAATATTACCAATTTGAGTAGCTTGATCGACGCAAAGGCTCTATATTTTACTACTACACCTCTCCTCTCAGTCACCTTTCCAGACATCACCATGAAAGGATTTGTAAAATGTATTAGAAAAAAGGAGAAAAGAGAAAGAAACAAAGCCCAAACAATTCAAAAAGGAGAAAATAGTCATACATATAAGAACAAATATTGGTACAGGATGACAATATGCAAAATGGGGACACACCAGAAAATAACAAACTATAGTCAGCCCTAATCTGAGGAGACCCTTTTATTTCTCCAGCACAGCTTTACAAAGTTCTCCATGTGAGTCATGGAACATACCTGAGCGGGGAAAAGCCTTACCTGGAATCGCTCCCTCCCAATGGACCAAGAGTGAGACAAAGGAAACCACCTTCCCAAGGTTTTTTATACAATTGAATGACCTATTAGCACCTGGGCTGACCATCATGTAATTACTAACAATCCACTT